ATTTCCACATTGATAATGCCTACTATTACAAATTCTTTCCCGAGAAAGAATGCAACAAAACATTAGATTTCAAGATTGGAGTATTCTTGGCTAGTACCTTTACGCAAGTACCGGTACCCAAACAGTGATACCGAAGCCCCAGTGTCAATTTGAATAGTAATGTGCATTTGATGGACCACAAATTTAGCCTCAAGAGAGTGTTTCTCAAGATTCGTAAGATAATTATCAACACAACTTTTGTACTTCATTTGTGGCATGTTGGTCGGTATATTTCTCTATTTATCCTTGCTTTACTTTTGGCATGAGACATTCTACTACCTATAGATAAGTTTTGTCTTTTATGTTTATTTTTGATTATGTCAGCCATTTTGGGTTTTTGCAAATTAGCAAAACTGCTCAAGTGAGACATGTTATTAAGCAGATTCGTCAATATCGACTCAAAATCTAGGTTCAACTCCAAAATCTGCTGCTGGATTATTATGAACAAATGAATGATCATTGGTTGACCAGCTATAATTTTTGGTTGAATCATAAATTGTGCGTCCACAAGTCTAGTCTAACAGCATATTAGAATTATGTTGTTTAACCCTTAACCTACAGATGTTTTAGCCACAGAGGCCGAAAGGTTTATAATGTTATCAAATCTAAACTGTTAACGGATATTCATTATTTTAAATTAATGCAAAAAAATTATCACATTTGTTTCCATAATTGTTGATTTACACTGAAGTATTCTACTAATAGGCTTTATTTTTACCCCATACAAAGTATTTTGTTTGAGACAGAATGCTAGAAAACATATAAAAGGGCAAATTCCACCACTAGAAGCAATCCAGGAGTATGGGTGTACTTTGGGCTAAACAGTTCTGTGATGAGTCATTTGCTAGCAATTACTCTAAAGGGCTGTGCACATTTTGTTAAATCACTAAAAAAACAAACTTTAGTAAGTAGAATCATTGTACAGAAATCATGCAATCCATCTCTGAGAAACAGACGTTAAAATGATGTTCACATGTATCCCAGTAAGCAGGATCCTGTTACAGTTATACACTGCAATTTCAGACAAAATCGCCACAAATTGTGTAAACATTTAACTAAATCAAGTGATGTACATGCACTCGTCAGGATAAAAACAAAATGGTTGCAAATCGGCCATTTTTGTTTGAATGTTGAAAAAAATACGAGATGCATCTGTAACCCAGTAAGCATGATCCTCAAAGTGTGAATACAAATGCTAAGTTCTGGACACGTTTACAGACAAAATGGTCATAATTCAATCAAATCACAAAAATAACACATCTCACAATTTTGCCATTGATTACAATAACTGTGTACATCCTTTCAACTGAATCAGTAGATAGTTGGCCATTTTGAGTCGGATCTAATAAAGTGAAGTTCAATGTACATGCATGTACTAAGTATGACCAAAATCCGTGATCGAGTCAAAACTCGTACAGAAATTCTCAACTTTGATGAATTTTATCATTAAAACAAACTCAGTCCAGCTACAACTGGATAACCAAATAAATATGCACATGTGCAACATGATGTATGATGTACATATAAAGTTTGAACATTATATGTCGAAGATGTAGCTTTGGAACTGCATTCATTAAAACAAAATGGCCATCTGGCAGCCGAACAAAATAACAATGGCAGAAATGCACTTCAAGCACAAAAATTGCCGCCATTTGCCAATCTTCACCAGATCATGAAACAAATGGATGTTCACATGCCACACAAGATATGTAATATATTTACAAAGTTTGAATGCGAGACATGTCCCAGATACAAGTATGGACGCACACACACAAAGAGGTCAAAACAGTCCCCTGTTTTGGGACTGCATCCAAAGGGAACTAAAAAAAACAATAGCCAATCAAAAAAATATTTCATCCCCAAGAGATAATTTTGGATATGGCAGCCATTTTTGATCAATGTGTATATGCAAGTCATCATCTTGGTGTTTTGAATGTGTTTGGTCAAAGCATGCCCAAGATATGACTCAGACAGAAGTCAAATTAATAGTACACGATTTCGGACTAAAAATACATTACGACACAAAATATGTTCACTGCATCGGCTACAAATCCAGAAGTCATGTCTGATGCAGCAACAAAGTGATAGTGGATGAAATTTCACTGTGTTTGTCTTTTGAGAATTATATGAATACATATGGATTATACAGCATGGTAGGACAATTTTTCATTTAAGTATCAGCTACACAGACAAGATTTACAATTAATATGTCAATACTAATAAAAAAAATAGGGAATAAAAAGTATATACTTATACTAATTGCATGATTACAGTGAAACGTATGCTAAAGACATGATAACTGTCATTCTGAGAGAAAAAACCTCTACCAGTATAAAAAATATACTGTGTTATCACTAGAGAGCAGTTACAATCTTTCTTGTAATACATCCGTTTTTTACAAAATATTTGACAAATTATGTATATAACACCATGTAGCCTACTTTAACTGGCTAAGATTAGTTTTATTTCTATACTTTAGATGTTTAGTAATTATCTCTCCATATTCATCTCTCCCTAATAACGTGTACGCCAATGGTAACAAATTAAGTATAGACGCATGGAATATATCAGATCCATTACAAAAGAGATCAATCCCTAATTCATATCCTTCGCCATAATCGCATTCATCATTAGCAAACTGGATAAAAGTCATAATCTCCTGCAGATCATCAAAGTTTTTTAACCGTTCATCATCTGTTGAGCTGTCAACAATCTTCTTAAGAATCTTCTTCAGTGATCCTGCAATAACAAACATAAAGAAATGATTTCAATTTTGGGATAATGTGCCGATTAACTGACAAAATGATACAGAAATTATTGAATATGACAGATATAAATATAACATATTTCAAACAATAAATGCAATAAGATTGTTAGTAACAACAAACAATTAATGGCATGAGATAAAAGAAAAATACATTACAAAGAATCCCATACATCTTACTTACCATCAGTTTCTGGTAGTGGTCGATAACCAACATCATCAACAACTGGAACAACGATGCCAGCTCCATGAAATGTTTTAGCAACCACTTTCTTATCCCTTGCTTTCATTGCCTTTGATCTAGATTCCAGTGAGATATCAGACTTTTTTGTCCATTTTAGGAGACTCTCATGCAGCTTATTTAAAGATGTTTTCTTTTTCTTATCTTTTGCCAAGTTGAGTTTATTTACTATGCATAGCCTAAGAAAATATCCAGTAAAAAAATATTATAATTTCAAGTTACCACTCGTTGGATTCAAATACAGTGGGTGCCCTATCAATTTTCCCTTGGAAAGTTCTTAGCAGTATTTTTAGTCCCAAGTCACACCAATTCTCACCAGGAGTGCTGATTGGTATATACCGTAAAAACTCCAAAATTTCGACCGGTTTTAAATAATTTTGTTTTAGAAATGTGACGCGTTTTTAGAGTCAAAATTAAGGTGCCTTTTTGGACGGTCGAATTTTTCAGAATAGAAATCAGCAAATGAAAAATGGAGATGATAGACAGTGTGCTTCGTTAGTTTTTAAAAAAATGCAATGTCCGTCAATTGACGTAAACTTCCCCATGTTTCACGGTAAAAGCAAAGGTCGTGGCCGAGTTGTATGCTAAACAACTCAAAATCAAAAAGTCATCAATCAGTGAGTATTATGACAAGGAAAACAAAACATCAAGACGCGGAAGAGAGGTCAGCACAAAATTAGGTCAAAAGACAAAGCTGTCTCGCACTACCTAGGAAAACTTGGGAATGTTCGAAGTACAGGTACCCATTGGACAAAAGATACATGGAAGTTTAGCAAACTATCTCCCCGACCCAGTGCAATGTATCCGGTTAGAATCAAAGCTCACGTGTCCCTTATTTGAGGGACCAGATTCTGCCGTAAATTCACCCTTGGATTAAAAAAATAAAATTGGACTTTTAAGGTGTATTTTGGCGTCATTTTTCGGACATTTCAATCATTCCTGCCGGCTAAAATAGAGTCTAAGTTTTAACGTAGTCATTGACGTCTATTCAAGAGTACACGTGTATGATTTTTATCGTGACTAGCGTGAGTGGGTAAGCTTCGTTTCGACAATGAGCTGTTATCACTGTGAACAATG